CTTTGTATGGTAAGGTGTCTTCAGCTGGGCTTCTGCTATCAACCCATTTGACCAGCAGCAATTTTATTGTTGTTCAGGCACATTTTTCTCCGCGGGTATTCCTGGTTTCTTCACATGCATCCTTTGTATAGCCCCACCATTTTCCGGTACGACTACTTCAATCGCTATGTTATTTGGTATGCTGGGAAATATCAGTGGTACACTGTTGTTGGGCTTGATCTCCAAAATGGTACGATCCTCTTCTCCTACTTTGCAGTTCTTCTTATACTAGATATCAGTAACTGACTGAAAAAGTTTTCTCAGTGCTGAAATACTGGAAAGAGATCGAATTCTCGCATTTTTTCCTGCACAGCCTGATAGTAGTCAGTTAGTGACATGCTTCTACATATTTTCAGGGTTTCTCCAACAAATGGATGATGTCGTTTATGTTATGTAGTGCATTCAGTTTTCTAGCGGGAGCCGCTTTCTTGATATTTGGATCCGGTAAGTCTGTTCTGGTCCAGTGAAAGATTAATTAATGCAGCAAGATGTTTGATCTGCATTATTACTAATCTATTTTTCAGCAAAGGTTCAGGAGTGGGCCAAGAATGAGTCATCCAAGAGCGATTCCGCCATGAAAACTCTTCAGCCATCTGAAGGACCTTTCCTCTGAGAAGACAAAAATATGATGTTATGTACCTCAGATAAAAAAATGAATATAATTCCTCTCGTTGTTGTGTTTAGCAAGTTGACCCATGTTATTAATTTTTGCCCTTTTATTTTGAAGGCATAAGGCACGATTATTTGGTCTTGCCCGAAAACAGCAGCGTGGGTGCTATATAAAGGGCATATGACGGAAAAAGCGAAGCTGAATGGTCGAAGACCTGCCCAAAAAAAAGCCTCAGCTCTGTACGGTATTGAAAGAGTTTCCTGTTGGGATCGTGTCGACAACAGCTTTAATAGGTACGACTGCACGTATTTATTCATATGACCATATAGCAATGCTTCACATCAATCGTACTTCATAAATGAAGCGATAAGAGTACCAGCGTCAATGTGACTGCCCGTTCATTTGTGGGCGTTCGAGTGGCGGGTTGCACCTTGGTTAGGCACTGTAATGGCGTCTTTGTTTGGAGAGCGCCACGTAGCCCCTCGTTGGGATCACAATATTCTTTGATAGTAGGCGCATTTACCCTATGTGCCTTGCCGATTTATCGTACCACTTCCCTTCAAACTAGTACGACGACTAAAAATAGTGCAGCTATGGTGTAGCATCCGGACATCAAATGGTGGTGTGTGCACGACCCTCACGAGCGACTATTACACCCCTCTTTCTTGACAAATTTTGCACAAAGATGCTGTACCGTGGGTAGCCATAGCGATAAGGTTGCCAGAAACAGTAGTCTGACGTGACATGGCAAAAACACGGAAGAAAGAGATGCTTTCCAGATCTATGACCCTAACTGAAATGGGAATTCATTGAGGCGGGGGGAGGGCTGGGGGGAGAGGTGAGGTGCCGTGAATTCGATGATATGGGTGGTGCCAGAGTAGTGATATCACACTTAGGCAACATCACTAAGGTATGCGGCGTGCTGAAAGTTGAATTTGTATTTTCAATTCTTTCCCCACTTTTCCCGCTGTCCGAGCTGCTCTGGAACCAAATTACGAATTTTCGGAATAAGGAGATCTTGGTCAAGTATGCGCCCCGTCCACGGTGGGTGGAGCTTGCTTCACTTCATGTGTGTCCCGCACGTTATCGTCCATGAACTACCCGTCACTCTCTTGACCTGTCCCCTCTAGTTGGCTCTTTAGATCATGCCGAATTCCCGGAGAGATAGACAAACAGGCGAAGCCGTTCACACAATGTACACTCCTTATCCCTGAGCCAGAGTAGGCGTGGCATTTGAACATGGCACGGAACTGGTTACTCGTGGAATATTCCAGTCTGGGACAACTGTCATCTTGTTCTGTGTTGGACAGAGACACGACAACAATTGTGTCAAGATGAAAATATCTCACCAGAAGCATAGACACCTTCAGGTTAAGTTGAAACATGCGGCCACGCCTACCCGATCTCAGGGATTTCGAGTATATCTCAACGACATGAAACGAAGTATTGATATAGCTCTGAGAATCGTAGGACATGAAACTAACTACTAGTAGAGCGGTGCTCATTTCAGGGCACGAATTAATGAAATTGGCTTTCGATGAACGATTCGTAATTCAAAGCATGCACACCAAGAAACACATTCCCCTCCCTGCGAAATGTTCACGGAGTTCGAAGCGAATATTTGCCTTATACATTCACCTTGTGCATTCAACCTGATAAAACGGGGTTTTTATTCGAGCATCTTTAAGTGATAACCACATTCTCGGGAAGGTTCAAAGAGATAAAAGAGAAATTAACAGGGGTGTCAGAGAGCATAAATCAAAAGAAATCAGAAATTAAAGGAAAAGATTATCGTATTAAGATGGATCTGTAATATACAGCTGGTATCGTCGCCATCAGTCAGGTCAGTCCATAAAGGTATGGACTGACCCACCTGGCGTTTCACCACTGGTTGTTTTCTTTCTAAATCGTTCACTAGCCGATCATCATTGGTAAAGCGAGGGAGCCGGAGGAAGGGCTTTTCCCGCCCTCCTCACATCGCCCCCAGCCGATTGCGATGTTTCACACCACACATATAGTGTGATCTTGTGACCTTGCGAGGTTTCGCTCTAGTGTGGATTTTCTTTATGACCCAGTCTTTAACGCCGATTTTCTTTGCAGAGGCAAAAAAAAACAAAGTTGCGAGTCCCTAAGCGCAGTATCATTTTCAGCTTTTCGCCATTAAAATAAAGCAAACTCGAAATCCAGTTCACCGTTTTGATATGTATCTCAGGCAGCCCATGACGCATAAGTGTACTGGAGTTCAAGTTGGCCTGTTCCGGATTGTGTTCCGGAACGTATATGACGCATCCCGCAGCACCTGACCAGGACCGGTTTTTCGTTCAGCTACGCTTGCAGATCGTCCGGTATTTAAGCTGAGCGAGTCTTCGGCCAGTACCCACTGAAATCGTAGAAATAGGCAGAGTTGAAACGGATTGTCCATTTGATTCACATGATGCTGCGGCTTCATACTACTATAGCGCTATTAGTAGCAGGTTCGTTCTCGCTTCATCACAAAATTCGGTTTATCTATCCATTTTTGAGAGCGAATATAAAGGAGGATTCTCTCAAATTTGCTTCATCTTATTTTTTCACTTCAATGCTTATTTTGTTCCTGTACTTGTTGTACTGCTATTTTTATTTTTGCTCTTTACTTCACACTCAATATCTTTCCGATCAGTGTGGCACCTCGCTGATTCATGTCCAGCAAAAAATGCGTGACTTGACTTTCACTCGTTGCCCTTAAAGTTGGAAACCGACAATTATGAATTCTACCAGTCTTCCAATATTTCTACAGTCTCTGAACACGTTCTTTGTTTCTTTCCCACTAGTTGCACAATTAGTTTGATTTTATTAATTCCATATTGACAAAAGTTTGCAGTTTAGTAGTTCGGTATTATTACATTCTACCATTGATGAGCTCCAGTAAACTGTCCTTATTGGACCTCGCTCACAAAATAGAAGAGATATCTGATCAATATCAATATTATCATCAGTCATAACAATGCTAGAATATTGACAAAGTCGCCAGATCTTCCATTTTTAATGTTGTTTATTTCGTCATTAAAACTCATACATTTTTGTAAGGAGCAGGTGATCACACCTACCTCTATAAACTCTTGCAAGACTTCTTGACTTTCGATTTTTTTTCCTCTCGGAACTTATTCATTTTCCATTTTTTTTCTTTCTGCCTACGAGCTCGTTAGGTGGAACTATTTATTCGAGGCCTACCGTTCCGGTCAAGTAGTCGACCTCAGGAGCCGAAAAAAGTCTGAACGTTGTTCTTCTGACCGCCAGAGGCCACTTTCCCCTAATATTCCCGGCGGAACGTCTCTGGGAGCCACTAGAGCTCTCAATGTAGGAAATGGATCTACCAGTTCCATGTGTGCACTTATCTATTTCATTCCATGTATTGTAGCTGCTTTGGAAGGCTATGTTGGACTGGATAGTTCCGTTTCCTTCATTGAGTTTTGGGGGTCATTTTCTCCAGGGTACTTTCCTTGAAATTTGTGTAGAGAGACGTTCGGCGGCTTAGGGAAAACCTCTCAGGTTTGGAGCCAAGTTTAGGCTTGTGAGGGCCGCAATCTGGTCGAAGGTGGTGGACAGATGGAAGAGCACTAAGAAGAAAAAAGGGGAGATTACGAAGCCAGAAGTTGGAGCTCACCAGAGTTGTTTCGTATGTGTTGTCTGCTGTGGAGATAATTGAGCAACTGAATGCTAAGAATTAAACTGTTGCGCTCATCTTTCTCGTCTGGCATTCTACCGTCTTATTTTGTGGCGTTTTTTGGCAGGGTTCCCAATAAAATAGAAAACAAATTTTCAAGATTAGAATATATTTGCATTGAAAGATGACCCGCATCAGATTTCAAGTTGTCGACCTTGAATTACCCTTTTTATGTACTGTTTACGGTTCCCCTAGATGAGAGCTCTCTCGTAGACTGTGTTGGCTGCAGGCTGCATTCATCGTGAAGCTGGCCTCCTCCCCAAGCTGAGCCAGCTTGAGCTGGATTGCTGCTGAAGTGGATGATATCCCAACTAAGGAATAACACTGGAGGGAGTCTGAGACTCAGAGGCTTCCAGAGAAGTCTCAGATGCGAAACGTTTCTGGGAGGGAAGAGGACTCTACTCAGTAACTACAGGACCTTCCACTCAGAACATTTTCCGGTCTTGTGAGTAGGTAGGTAAAACGCGTTTCCAATGAATAAAGCGGGAAAGATTGCCTTCAGAAGAGTTCACGACTTCTTGTTAGCTTTTCATGCCTAGTGCAAGTGCTTGAAGCTCGAGCACTTCTAGCATTTTCTTCACAAAATGTTTCAAACCTATCCCGATTTTGATAGTTGTTGACTAGTGGCAACTGATACCAACAAGTACAAATTAGGCAGTGGTAAACCAAGTTTCACCTGGTGTTGCTGGTATGACGGCTTGGGAAGTATTGTTTGTCACTCTAGTGGGCGCCCAAGCAAGTGTATATCAGAGTAGCCTCACTGCCTCCCAATGAGACCCGGGCAGACTGGTAGGATGGAAGTAGGACTATATAGTAATTATTAAGACTAGTTAATCGTGCTCCTTGAAGTTTCGGACTAGGAAGAAGGTTTATGACGTTTACGAAGCGACCAGTATCTGAGCAGTTTTTACGTTCAGCATTCATTTGTTACCAACTGAATGAACTGTTAGAGTACTGTGATTGCATTACTGATCCTGGAGTGCTTGTGTTTTGAGAAGATGAGTCAAGCGAGGGTATTGTGCTCAAGAGCCTGTCGCTAATAACATTCGTACACGGTGCACCGAAAAATAGCCTTTGTTTGGACTGTCCAGTTCGTCAGCTGGTCGACACAAAAACTTCGTCCAAGATGCTCCGCCAGACGACTCTTCAGATAGGGCGCGAAAGCAAAAAAACTGAACCTCAACCGGATTAAGCTTCTCGATTTCCATTAAAGTATTTCTTATTCCAGCAGCTGAAGCCACTTCCCTTTCCGGGCGAATGTGCATGACTGTCGAGCTCTATCGAGCTGCTGATAATTCAA